AACCTGACATTCGAAGTACTGTCCCCAAGTGCACTAATTAGTCGATTAATGGTCTCACTCGTTGCTGCCTTTTCACCCATCTTCCTGAGAGCTTTACATGCACTCCTCCTGACGTCCGGATCACTGTTCTCAAGTACACTAATTAGTCGACTAATGACCTCACTCTTTGCTGCCTTTTCATTCATCTTATCCAGAACTTCACATGCACTCGACCTGACACTCGGATTACTGTTTTCAAGTGCACTAATTAGTCGATCAATAACCTCACTCGTTGCTGCCTTTTCACTCATGTTATTCAGAGCTTCATATGCCCTCGATCTGACACTCCAGTAACTGTCTCCAAGTGCACTAATTAGTCGATTAATAACCTGACTTGTTGCTGCCTTTTCACCCATCTTACCCAGAGCTTCACATGCACTCGACCTGACACTTCCATTACTGTCCCCAAGTGCACTAATTAGTCGATTAATGACCTTGCTTGTTACTGTCTTGTCTCCTATGTTACCAAGTGCTATACTAGTGTTGTATAAAATTTCGTGATCTTGATTTGGAAGGAGTTTGATGAGCGAAGAGATGATCGTCGAGCCAGGGCCCACAATTTGTAAACTCGAAATGAGTGAAGTGATGTTACGTGTGGTGTCGAGATCTTGGTTTTCAAGCAAGTGAGCGAGAATGTTTTGTATTGCCGATTCGTTTTGTAGTGATGTGCAGTTTTGCATTGTTATATTGAAGTTCTGCTGTAGAATGCGATTGCCTGTGGATGAAATATATTTGATCCAACGGATGATGTATTGGATTACGTCATCTCGCTTGTGTATCATATGGCTACAATGAGCCTCGTCAATGCATGAAGTAAGAAGTTGTAGATGTCGAAAGCCAACTAAGTCGTGTGGTTCTCCAAGAATTGCATCCCAGAATTTATTGATCCGCTCTTCATCATTAGCTTGAACGAGGAGTCCTGATATAAAAATAAATACCGAGGCAAAACGTTTATTGTACTTGTTGGTTCTTATAAAGTCGACTGCTTTCACACATGCAAGACCGCTGAGAGCGTTAACGACGTAACGTGCTGCAAAATGCTCTTGAAAACTAAGATGAGCAAAACAGTGTTGTTTATGTACTTCAATGTTGTTGCCAGTGGATCCATGATTTAATGGCTTCAGAAAACCATTATTGAGTAGGTGGGGATGGATTTTCAGCGAAGAGCCAGTATCTTTCATAACTTTCTGTAGCAATTCCTTCCGGATTATTATTGAGTTGTCAATCATAGCTTCGAATGCCAATGTTTCTAGGAAAGTAAGCTCCTGATGACATACTGCATAGACTTCTTTCTTAGTCATTTGAATCTGCCTATTGTGTTGTGCTACATATCGTCGACATAGCCATTCGGTCATTTTATCGTAGAGTATTGTCATTGTCAGAGCTTCATTTTCTGACCAATCAGTCTCACTCCAAACACTACAGATAAGTTCCAAGTTTACTGGAATATGTGCAATATCCCAAATTCGCGGATTTAATTTCAGAAACTTCAGGTATTTTTGATATTCCAAAGATAGATTGGTGACATTTTCTTGAATTTGATCAAAGAAACGCTGTACATATGTCGGAATGTCCTTATCTGTAAAGCCTGTAATTTCTATTTGTACAGCGTATGATAGAGTATTGAAGTATGAACGTGATGTCATGATGTGATGAGGGGTGTTACACAACTGTCCGCATAAACTATGCAGATGTTGGGGTGCATTCTGCGCTATTTCATCATAACCGTCCAGTAGCCACAAGACTTTCCCATGATTCAACTGTTTTGTTAAGAGTACCTTGTCGTTCTCAGAAAGACTGTTTGAGAAATATTCTGTGTTCACAACATCCACTACTGAATAAGTTTGCTCGAAAGGCAACAGAGGGTAACGACTGTCCAATAATGAATGAAAAGGAAACACAACAACCAAGTCATACTCTGGCCAAAGAGCACCTGTTGCCCATTGGTGAGCAACATATCGACAGAAGGTGCTTTTGCCGATTCCAGCTCGACCAAAAATAAATATTTTCCTTGACTGATCTTTACATGCTTTGAAAATGTCTTTGACATCTATTGGTGTTTTGGTACCATAGACCTCTTCGAAAGTACCAATGATCATTTCATTGCGTTTAACATCACGAAACTTTTTCTCTTTTTCTTGTTGCTCTTTGGTTTCGACGATTGACAAACTAATGTAACTTTCTTCGATTGAAAAAGATATAGCTGGATTGATCAAACGTTCAACACGGCTATTTCTTTTGTATTGGTGCTTAATTAGCTCAAATAGATAGGTTGGTTCATCGATTTGTTTCGATGGTAGATAATGTGCAGCTGAATGTAGCTCTGTTATTCGAGCAACTAGTTCTCTAGCTTTTGATTGAATGTTTGGCTCGGAAATATCATAAAAATTTATACACTCTAGCCCGTTAGTTGTCACTTCCAACCAACCAGAAGGTTTCCAGATCTTTGCTTCACTAAGTATACATTGAATGATTCTTTTGTTCTGCTTTTTTGCATATTGCAGTTCGAGTTTACAATTCTCAGATTTTTCATAATCTGGCGTGATGAAGCAACAGATAACTGCAGCATTTTCTACTCCATTGGCAAGGCTATGCAAAACAATGGTTCATATACATTGTAGCAAGAAAGAATAATTATTTTCATAGGCATACCTTTCATACATATCTTCTTTCATGTCACCCTTACCGTCGGACCAAACTGGAATATTCTCTTCTCTAAGAATTTGGTAGACTTTTGACACAATCTCTTGACTTTCACAATTAAAAGACAGCATGACATGTTTCCCTGGAGGAACTGTAGAACTAAAAGATGTGAATTGGATATTAATGAATATCAAGATGATAAGATGAACGAAAGTTTAAAGCTACTTCTGTGAATGAAACATCGTGCATCCACATTGGGCATATATCAAGCTTAATCAGAGAAGATAAAAACCTAATGTGTGAAAAAGTCACATCTAACTCATGTAAACACTTTTTCGACACTATCTCGTTCGTTCATAGCTTATACGAGAGTAGAATAACCTTCTGATATAACTGAAGCCTTGTCTTATCTATCAGTCAATGGTAATACAAAAAGTTGCGAACAATTAGTTTTGATACATATTAACTTTGACTCTTTTGCGCGGTTAGAAGCATGCTTCAAAGCTTAGAAATGCTATTTTTCGGCTTTTAGAACGATGCTTGTGTATGAAAATATCAGAATGTCCTTAATTGACCAGGATTCACTATATTTCAAAAACACATGCTTCCACTGTAGCGAGATACCTTCTGGTTGAACACAATTTCTAAAGGTATGGGTCGTTCTAATCGCACTCACGTCCATAAATGAATGCATGAGATCACTTGTTTTCACCAAAAATTCGTCAATCTATCAAAAACATGGCCTAGACTGTACTCAACCGAACATACTGAAGTACTTTTTCAATATAACACTGATGGCGATTTCTGTCAAACTTTAGATGACGTGCTGAGCAAAAGACACAATCTCCGTAGCACTCAACCTGGGACACAACAAGTCCGTGGCTTTTCAAGCCCAATCCGAAGATTCAGACTTGTGCTTGAAAAAACGTGAAAAGCACTCGATCTGACTGTTGAAATATAGCAAGGCATAGCTTTGGTATGAGTACTAAGGAATATTCATCCGATTTTATCTACATTTTGAAACTATTTTACTGTGTAGGTTCTATATTAAAAGATCCTTGTCTGGTTTGTATTGAAAGGAAACGTATAACTGTAGTTTTTTCTGGAATCATTTATCACTATGTTTGCTTATATTTGGACATGCAAGCAACTGAGATTTTGCGCTAATAACTTCGTTTTCAATTAGCTTTCTTTTGTTGTCATGAATTTTGAAATAATTAATTATAACATTATCTTTTATAAGGTTCAAGGATTTTTTAGAAACTATGTAGAGTCATAAACAAGTGGATCAAATTGAATTACTACTTTTTGAAAGAGTACATAAGTCTAGAATAGATCGCAATTAAGCTCTGATGCTATTACATTGATACTTTTTAAAGATTTTCTGTGCTCTTTTTTCATAACTACATAGTATTTTTTGAAGCATTATTAATAGTTGACACGATAGAATTTTTTTGCTCAATCATGAAACTACAAAATGAAGAGCAATGGTATCCTATTCGATTCGTGATGGCTCAAACATATCTTTCTCTGAATAGAGAAGCTAAGCCTTTGTAGTTACCTAATAATTTTGTATTCATTTTCTGTATAGTTGTATTTAGAGATGTTGGTCGAGAAATTTGTCGGTGCTGATGTGGGGAAGTTCTCTAAAACTTGTTGTCGTCAGGAGGAAAATTTTTTCGGGATTCATGACTTCGTATTTCGAATAGTTGCAATCCGCAGCGAAATAGCTAAATAATACCTTGATATTCTGTGAGTATCAGAGCAATATTTAAGTTGCCGCCACAGATCCGAGGTAACAGTGACATAACAGAATTACAAGAGATGTTCTGACAGTAGAAAAGGTTTATGCGAAACACGGACGGCGTCGGTGAAAAATTGATAACTGACATGTTTAGTTATATTTTCTATAAGAAACAAAATATCCCACCTATATCGTCAGCTATCAAAATATAGCTTTTATGGACAATTTTTGACATACGCTCGGGAAAACCATCATTTGTCGATAAATCCAAAATCTAAAGCTCTACTGAAAGATTTTCTAAAACATGGACTTCCTTGGCGTAGTAAATTCTGTGAACAGAAAGATAATGGTCTCTTTCTCGTGCTCACAAAAAACCCTCTTTTTTCACGTGACTATTTTACGACTACCGTCATTTCTGAAAGTGATGTAACTGCCAAAAGATGTTTTCTGATTACACATATGCAAGGAAACACTTGAATAGTGGAACAAATAACTTAAGATAGCGGTAAGAAAGACACATTGTGGTTTACTCTATAAGTTTGTGTGACTGCTGAATATATTCGAGACAAAAATATCATGGAGTATGTTTCGCTTGTTCCTATAGTACAGGTGGTGTCCATCGAACAACTCTCATGATTTCCAAACTAAACTCAAGTATGGTCAAGTTTAACCATTGACGGAATGTGTAAATGCTTACTACTATGGTTTGATGTACTTTTGCACAAACTTGTGGACTACTATGTTCAAAGGCTTTCATTATTAGACCATCAAATCTTTGGGTTTCATCGGCTGCTTCCCACAGACTTACCATTCGTTCAAATGAACAATAAAGAAACCATTTATATCGAATGACGTGGATTGGACGCGCAAGCAAGTTCCAGGCATAAGAACGATTTCTTTCTCGTCTTGATTTGCTGAGTATGCAGTAATATCTTTGCCATAAATTGTATTAATGCAAAATAGAGTACTCTTCTTGTCTGAAAAACACGTCGCAATATTGTTTTCCGAAGAACATGAATTCACACTCCACCAAGTGTGCACACTATCTTTCGTGAATTCTGAGCCAATAATGCCCCCAACACCTCGCCACACCGTTGTCTCACACGACGGTAATTTCTCGAGAGCGGTAATGAATAGTTTCAAGAACGCGAGCCACGGTTCCACTGCCTGTGAGTTTTCAGCTCGAGAAGCCTTGTTGAATGCTTCATTAAAAGATGTATTCATTGTGTAAAGATATATTGCTGCTGATTCGTCTGGTGACAGTACAGTATTTTTTCTGCACTTTTCTTGCGCTTTTTTAGCATCATCAACGACACTAGGGCAAAACTGAGCGATGCCTTCTACAGCTTTTTCTAATGGCACAATTGGCACATTTTTGTATCCAGATATTGGAGTACGGTTTGTCTGTTGATGCTCTGATATATGAATGTTCACAAAGCGATTGCTTCTTGAAGTCGTCATTAGTTGTGCCATTGGATGACTGATTTCCTATTATAAATAGAGTTACTAAAAGATCGCATCAACTATACATCTACTGAGGCATTGCCATCGTTTTTCGCATCCAGAATAAAACCAGCAGTGATCTAAAGCTAAATTCGTTGGATATTATGGCACTGTCCTTTAAATTGACTTTATACTAACTGCTGCTTAGCTATTTGTCTTGGCAGCGTTAGAACTTCAAAAAGGCTGCATAACCGTATCATCCTACGTCTTCGGGAATAAATATGATAAATGAAGAGTCTAATCGATTTATAGTGTAGTCTAAGTTATTAGATCATTTTGTTTCCCTCATATTAAACACCGATTCAAACACTGAAAGAGGACCCACTGTAATACCCCAGAATGAGTGTACTGAAGATTTTACCATTGTCATTCGAAAAATTGAACTGTTACAGCTTGTTGAGGTTTCAAAAGGCAACAAGCCCTCTACACCACATAACCATTTTATTTGGTTCACTCCTGGAATTGTTGTGGGAAAATATGTCAAGATTAGCCTTCTGATATGTAGGTATTAGACAATGCATCCCGATCAAGTTAGGATAGATTACACTTTGCACCGAACAACGGGTGTGGGTGTGGGCGTGTGGTTATGGGTGTGTGGGTGTAGGTGTGGGTGTGGGTGTGGGTGTGTGGGGTG